AGAATTAATACTGTCAAAATGGCCATCCTGCCTAAAGCAATCTATAGATTCAATGCAATTCCTATCAAAATACCAAAAGCATTCTTCAATGAACTAGAGAAAATTAATCTAAAATTCATATGGAACCACAGAAGTCCTCAAATAGCCAAAGCAATTCTGAGAAGGAAGAATAAAGCTGGGGGCATTATGCTCCCCAACTTCAAGCTCTACTACAAACCACAGTAATCAAGACAATTTGGTACTGGCACAAGAATAGACCCATAGACCAATGGAACAGACTAGAGAGCCCAGATATAAAGCCAAGCATATATGGTCAATGAATATATGATAAAGGAGCCATGGATATACAGTGGGGAAATGACAGCTTCTTCAACAGCTGGTGTTGGCAAAACTGGACAGCTCCATGCAAGAGAATGAAACTGGATTATTGTTTAACCCCATACACAAAAGTAAACTCGAAATGGATTAAAGACTTGAATGTAAGTCATGAAACCATAAAACTCTTAGAAGACAACATAGGCAAACATCTCCTGAATATAAGCATGAGCAACTTCTTCCTGAACGCATCTTGAGCAAGGGAAACTAAAGCAAAAATAAACTCATGGGACTACATGAAACTAAAAAGTTTCTGTATGGCAAAGGACACCATCAGCAGAACAAAAAGGCATCCTACAGTATGGGAGAATATATTTGTAAATGACATATCCAACAAGGGGTCAACATCCAAAATATATAAAGTACTTACACACCTCAACACCCAAAAAGCAAATAACCTGATTAACAAATGGGCAGAGGATATGAAGAGACAGTTCTCCAAAGAAGAAATCCAGATGGCCAACAGACACATGAAAAGATGCTCCACATCACTAATCATCAGGGAAATGCAAATTAAAACCACAATGAGGTATCACCTCACACCAGTAAGGATGGCCAGCATCGAAAAGACTAAGAACAACAAATGCTGGCAGGGATGCGGAGAAAGGGGAACCCTCCTACACCGCTGGTGGGAATGTAAAATACTTCAACCATTGTGGAAAGCAGTATGGAGGTTCCTCAAAAAACTAAAAATAGAAATACCATTTGACCCTGGAATCCCACTCCTTGGAATTTACCCAAAGAATACAACTTCTCAGATTAAAAAAGACATATGCACCCCTATGTTTATTGCAGCACTTTTTACAATAGCCAAGATACAGAAGCAACCTAAGTGTCCATCGGTAGATGAATGGATAAAGAAGAGGTGGTGCATATACACAATGAAATACTATTCGACTGTAAGAAAGAAACAAATCCTACCATTTGCAGCATGGATGGAGCTAGAGGGTATTATGCTCAGTGAAATAAGCCAGGCAGAGAAAGACAGATGCCAAATGATTTTGCTCATTTGTGGAGTATGACAATGAGGCAAAACTGAAGGAATAAAATAGCAGCAGACTCAAAGACTCCAAGAATGAACTAGTGGTTACCAAAGGGGAGGGGTGTCAGAGGGTGGGTGGGGAGGGAGGGAGAAGGGGACTGAGGGGTATTATGTTTAGTACACATGGTGTGGGGGGATCATGGGGAGTGCAGTGTAGCACAGAGAAGGCACACAGTGGATCTGTGGCATCTTGCTGCACTGATGGACAGTGACTGCATTGGGGTCTGGGTAGGGACTTGATCATATGGGTAAATGTAGTAACCACATTGTTTTTTCATGTAAAACCTCCATAAGAGTGTAAATCATACCTTGATAAAAAAATGAATGAACCACACGTATTGTACCTAGCTGGGTACATTTCAGACAACCTGGGGAGTAGGGGTGGAGAAGCCACTTGCAGAGGCAGATACACATGCAACGACATAGCTTTGCACAGATGTGACACTGAAAATAACATGGGATGAAGACTCATACATATGTAGTAAAAATAGAAAAATCACAGCCAACCTGAGGGTGGAAGGATAGGGGATCTGATTAGGAAGGAGCTTCAGTTTTCTCTATTTATTTACAGAAGATGCTCTGAAGCAAGTAAGGCAAAATATTAACACTACATCCACGTAGTGTGCATTCATTGTGGTCTGTGTTTGAAATATTTTGTAATAAAGAAGTCTTGATATGGAGAGGATTTGGAGAGCTAGTCAACTATCTTTATCTGCTTTTTGACCAAGAAAATCTCTTAAGACTGTAAGAAGAGAACCATAAATCTCACGAAATGGCTGACTTGAGGTATCTCAACGTGCCTTCATAACAGGATGGTTCTGTTCTTCCTGGGAGAGATGAAAATACCAGTGTTATAAAGTGGAGAATGTGTTTTAATGGGGCAGTAGAACCTCAGATTTCGAGCTCACTGGGCAGTGGTACTCAGGAGCTGGACCCCAGGGTACCGGGGGGCCTGGGGCACCACCTTTGATCAAGTCTGTAGCAGCGCACTGTAGATTGGTGCCGCAGGAGCCTTCCCCCTTCCCCGCCATTTCCTAAACGTGTGCGCATGGTACGCACATGCTCCTGTGTCTGTTAACATCTACTGAGCATCCTCTGCATGCCAGGCACTCCTGCAGTGCTGGGCAAGAGCTTAGGACACGCTGCCGTCCCTGTCATGCTGGTGGGAGGAGAAGTCCGGAGAACAGATGAGTAGGAGAGTAACAGGCGGGGCTGGGGAGAAAAATCAAACGGTGAGGGGAGAGTGTGACCAAGTTACAGGGTGCTGCTGCTCTCCCAGATGGGCTCAGGGCTGGCTTGTGAGAGGAGGCGACACCTGTGCATCCAGCTGCAGGAGTGAGGAAAGGAGTGAGCAGGCGCAGCAGGGGCAGATGGGCAGGAGGAGACGGGGCTGAGCAGGACAGCATGGTCAGGTTTATGCCTTGAGGACCCCTCCAGCTGCCAGGAGGACCAAGAGATGCCGCGAGGTCCCTGCTGGGCAATCCTGCGAGGACCCTTTGCACTTCTGTCTACCAGGGCAGGAACCTCCAGGCAGTCCTCGCATGTCTCGTGTCAGCCCAGTGCCCGTGCAAAGGCCCCAGATGGGCCGGCATTGCGGCTGTAGTCGGTCCCTTTGTACTCAGGTCTGCCTGCCCCAAACCACACACACACCATGCCCCATTCCCTGCAGGGTTTGCAGTAACTTTCTCCTATGGTCCATATTGGTATTGGGCTAAAATTTTTGCTGATATCCTTCCCCACAAATGGGCTTTTAAATTTGAGGACTATCTGCTGGGTGACTGACATTTAACAGAGGGAGGGGTGCCGGGGTCAGAAAGATTGGCGTCTGAATCAAGCACTTGAACTGCATCACCAACCTCCAGAGTTTCCTCATTCAGACAGTGGGGACAGACGACATGACCGTGGCACTTTCTCTGTGGGCAGGAAGGCGTGAATGCGGGTGTAGACAAAGGCCTCCGTGCTATGCTTCCCACAGAGCGAGCTGTCAGTAAAACTGGTTTTTGTTAGTAAAAGTTTTTAGCTTCATGTTAACTGATCTTCCACATTTTAATCAGTGGGATCCATCTGTTCTTGGGTTACAAAGAATCTTGATGTTGAGAAAAACTCTGCTGCCCACAGGGGTGAGCCGAGAGGTCAGCAAATGGCTCGGGTCCTGCCTCTGCCACTTACTGAGCCTCAGCTTCCCCATCTGTAGAAATGGGAACAAGATTCCTCTACCTCCCAGCATTGTTGCAAGATTGCATTCATTGTGAAAGCACCCTTCAAAAGGTCTCAACAATTGTAATTACAGAAGGTGCTGGATTACCGTAGGCATCCTGAGGTCTGATGGAACTTAGACACACCACTCACGTTCTGCTTAGAACTCTGCCTAACGCAGCCAGGCTTTTGTGTTTATCTGTGGTTCTAGCACTCAGACTCCGTCGGCTTTTCCCCTCCCCTCTGCTGGAGCCAGCTTTGCTGTGCAGCCCACTCCTGAAATGGGCCCCACCGCGACCCTGACCTTTCCCATGGCCTCCCAGCCACCCAGGTGGGGTACGGCGGGTACCAGCCCCACTCCAGCCGGGACTTCGGTTACAGCAGCCCACCCCAGGAGCCCATCCTGTTTCCCTCCTACCAGGTATCATCCTTGGGCGGAAGTGTGGTCGGCGGCCCATACTGTCAGACAGACTGGGGCACAGCCTCCCACTCCTCGTCGGGCTGCCTGTAGCAGGAATGGGGGTGGGGGTGGGCTTGTGCTCATCTGGCACTTCTGCCTCTGATCCCAGAGCTCTGGCCCCACAGATCTGCCACTGTGTTTCCACTTGGCATCACCAATGTGTCCTGTAGTAGACATGGTCCAGCCCCCTGAGCCCCTTTCATCCACAGCTTGTGCCTGGATTGGCTGGTGAATGGCAGGCACCTCAGGCCCCCCCCATTAGCCAAGCCTGCACTGCTTGGCTCCACCCTTCTCTCCGCCAAGCCCCCAGGGCTTCTTCCTTCAAAGCCATGGTCCCCAGACTCCTGCCCTGCTCCCAGGGCTGCCTCTTGGCTTCTGTGCTTTCATGCTCCCCTCCATATAGTCCCCAACACCATGGATCCCCAGGGACTCCAAATCCAGCTGTGCTCCCTACTGCCCTTGGCATGGAACCCACAGCCTTCTGTGAGCCCGGCCTTGCCTGCTGGCCCAGCCCCTGCTCCTGGCAGACGCCTAAAGTCCCTTGAAGTCCTCTGCCCTTACCATCTACCAGCCCTCCACAAGGCCACCAGCCGACTCCCACTGGAGGGCCTCCGCATCCTGCTGACCTTGCAGGAACCCTGTCCCAGGTTTTGGCACCCCTCCCTCCTCATCACTGTTCCTCCCTGGGCATCCTTCGCCCTGTCGGATGGTCCTCACAGCTCTTTTGCTCTCAGACATTAACATTGGTTCCATAAAAGGCCACATCCACCTTGCTGGTCACTGTGACCCCAGCTCCCAAAATGGCCTGGTACAGAGCGGGAGCTGAGCTCAGGAACAGCATGAGTACAGCGTGAGCGAGGGCCCCTCTTACCCCACCCTGAGCGCATTCTCCCTGCTCTGCCCCTCCCTGGGGTGACCCTATCTCAGGACAGTTACAGCCACGAACCATCGGCAGCCTCCAGTAGCTACGAGGACAAACAGGATCACCTGCCTGCTGCTGGCCACCCTCAGCTCCCTGCCACGGACACCCTCTGTCAGCCAGGTGGGTTTCCACAAGGTCAGAGGGCGCAAGGGGGCACTCGCTTTGCCACGGGAGGAGCCGCATTAAAGTCACATTTTAAAATGTGACTTTTTATTCCAGATTAATAGGAGATCTGGGAGTAATATGAATATAGGCCAACCTCTCAAATATTCTCTTAAGTCTATCAACTAGGTGGTGGGCCTGTGAGAGAGGGAGGGAGGGAGGGAGAGAGAACTGAAAATGAGCTCAGCATTTTATTTTCTGAGGAAGCTTTCCCAGTCTGGAAGGAGGTAAGTTCTGCTGAGGACTTGGATTTTCAAATGAAGAGCACAGGGCTCTGGCCTGGGCCCGTGTCGGCTCCTGGCAGCCGGGGAGGCCTGCTGTGGTGGTGGTCATAGGCAGTGTGGCTCTATCTGCTCTTAACCAAAGGAGCTTGCTTACATGCAGCCCAGTAGTGGGCACAGCCACCACGGGTGCCCACCACTAAGGCGGTACCGCCAGCCAAGGCCCTGTCCCCCAGATGCACCTCCCTGCCAACCCCTGCAGCCTCTCTCCACCCTGCCTCCCTGCACCCTGTCCTCCTACAGCCCCACCTCCACCCCGTACTCTGGTAGTATACATTTCCCATCCATAGACTGCTGACTGTATTTGCTGCTGAATAAGCATTGTCCTCCAAACCAGCCCACCTCCTTCTCTCCTGGTTTTCTCTTTGCTTCTTAGGACCAAGTTACCTGAGCTACAACGTGTCGGTGTGCCCCACAGCTGGCCCTTATCATCCTCCATCACTCCCCACCCAGATGCAACCGCCACCGGTCCTGGGGCACCCCCAGCAGGCACCCGTGCTCCCAAAGCCCTTGGACTGTCCTGTGCCACGGGGCGGCTCAGGAAACAGTCCCAGAGACTGTCCTACCAGCAGCTTCACCCAGAAGCTACCAAGTCCCACCAAGCTGCTGAAACCCAAGGATGACTCCAGACAGTCCCTGCTTCACTACTGTGACACCTGCAAGATCATCTGCTTTGGTCCCCAGGTCAGCAGCTGCCTTCTTCCTTGTGCTGGGCAGGCCCTAGGGACCTTCTTGTCTATCATGGGCTGGGGCCCCTCTTGTCTCTGGGGCCTTCAAGAGGTCAGGGCCATTGCCTGTCTAAAAAAGGCCTGTTACTAAACATGCAAGGTCAAGTGCTTGTCAGAATTGCCTTAAAGTTGCCCTGTTGGTGTTCTTGTGGAAGACCTGAGAGCAGGCACATTGCCGACTGCTGGAGGCAGGAGCATGGGCTTGCACCCACAGCAAGGCTGTCTCCTCTTGCTCTGGAGCAGGGAGAGGCCGTCAGGGCCCCATCCCTGCAGCAAGGGTGGGCAGACACGGCTCTAGAGCGGTGGCTAGCTGTGGCTGTTGAAGCAGGTCACACTCGGATAAGAACAGGCGTGTGTGTGGGTGTGTGTTATCGTCTAAATGCGGGACTCCTCAGCCACGCTCACAGGGAGCCCAGCTTGTTCCCTGGAAAGATCTGCAGACGCTAAGGCTCCATGCTCACAAAATGCCACGTGCCAATTGTGTCTCGTTAATACCCTGAAGGAAAGCTCGGAGCAGCACAGACTCCAGAGCCACAGGCTGTGGGGACGTAGGAGGAGCCCCCCACTGCCCAGCTCACCTGGCCGCAGATGGGCCTGTGGCCGAGGTGATATGGCGCCAGCCTAGACCCACAGGCCACCCTCCCAGGCCAGGGCGCATGTTCTTGTCTCCTGCCTTCTGTTCAGAGTTCTCCATAAACCCTTCATGCCTTCTTCCACTGCAAGACATGCTCGTCAGCCAGAGCTTGGCTTCCCTGCTCCCATCTCTTCTTCCCTGTGCAGTTCTTACTTTGTGTTGCAGGGATTCTTGTCCTCATGGGCCAAACACAAGTGTCTGCTGGTTCTGGACTCTGCACAGCATCATGTGGGGTGAATGTGGTGCTCCCCACAGAGGGCAGGTGTGCCTCCAATGAGGGGTGGGACGGAGCCAGCTGCCTGAGCTCGCCACTGCCCAGGGCAAGGACCGTAGCCTCTCTGAGCCTGTCTCCTTGCATGATGGGCACAGTGACAGGGTTTGCTGAAGTGCATCACCTCCCTTGGCATCTGGCATGCATGTGGGTACCACAGAAATGGGGGCTCTTGTGATGCCCGCTTTTCTGCTAATATTAATAGCACCCTTTTTCATTGACATTTTTGTTGAGATAGTTGTAGGCGCACAAACAGTTGTAAGAAATGATTCAGGGGGGGTCCTGTGCCCTTTGCCCAGCTTCCCAGTGCTCACATCTCACCAGACTAGCCAGCGTCACAACCAGGACATTAATATTGATGTAGTCATCTCTCTTGTTCAGATGTCCGCAGCTTTACACGTGCGTGTGCATGCACATGTGCTTCACTCTGGGCAACCTTGTGCCCTGAGGAGGATACCGAGTGTTCCCACACCACAGGGACCCCAGTGCCGCCCTTGTTTAGCAGCCCTGCAATGCTGCTTTAAACCCTGATAATGCTGAAGTAGTCACGTCTCCCTGTGGGCTGGCGTCAGCATGGCTTCTCCATGGCTCCGGGGCAGCACTTCTGCCTTTGTTCTCGGGAGTCTAAGTCAAAGACAGCCCAGCTGGTCTCTGCGCTCTCCCAAGGAGGGGCCAGCAGGACCCCTGGGCCCTGCCAGAGCCCTGGAGCCCAGAGCCCACCGGATGGCCTCTGAAACTCCTCCCTGTTTTGTTTTCTCATTACACGTTTAGTACATGTTTATCGTGGCAAGTCTGGCAGTAGGATGACCAAGACTGTGCATTTGCCCTTAGATGAGCTTAGGCCTCTGAAGCATGTTGTTCTGTGAGGGGTTATTTCACCCTAACTGCATTGTTCCTATCTCCGCGAGGCCGGTGAAGGCTTGGGGTGCAGAGAGGATCACTAACCTGGGAAGCTAGAAAGAGCCAGGTTTGTCAAAGCCATGTGGTTAACTAGCACCAAGTGTGCAAAAGCAGGCAAGCACCCCCGTGACCTCTCCTCCCTGCAGTAGCTTACCATTAGCATCTTGGTGTGTATCTTTCCAGGCTTTTCTCTGCCTCATAGGCCTTTTCTGTGTGTGTGTGTGCACGCGCATATGTTTATGTTTGTATGTGATTTTGTCTCTTCGGTAAACTGTTCACAAGATTGCTAAGTTCCAGAGAGTACCCCTCCCACCCCTGTCCCTGCCTCCCACCCACTCCCAGAACCAGTGACGACACCAGTTCCTTATGTAATTTCATTCCACGGAAGGTGGGCTCTTGGCGTGGTCAGAGCACGTCAGCTTAGCGAACCCACTTTGAGTGTGTTTACTGCAGCTTGCTTCTTCTCACCAGTTCCCAGAGGTGAGTCTGGGATGCGGTGAAGGAGCTCAGGCATGTGCCACCGCAGGCAGGTACTCTGGGCGCGGTGGCGTGGAGTGGGCCGCCTGTGACTCATGTAGCCTTTCCTGCGTGGAGGCATGTTTACGAGCAGCATCCCTCGAGGAAGGTGCCCTGCGTCATTTTAATGATGCGCGTCTGCTTGGTTTCTAAGGTCAGGTTCTGAAAAAACAGAATTTTCCTTCACAGCGGCCCCAGAAACTAAATGTGTGATCCTTTGAAGATGTGTGGTTAAGATGCCCACCGCTTTTTATATAAGAAAAGAAAGAAAAAGAAAAAGAAGATTATGTCTTTTAGTCCAAGCTTCTGAGTCTGCTGATGGTGGGGAGTTTAATGAAGCAGCACACGAACCTCTCAGAAGCCCGGGAATGGAGCAGGGTGGGGGTCATCCACACCCCTCAGGCTGCTCTTGCTGTCTGCTGGCAGGCCTACCGCGAGCACCTGGATGGGCAGAAACACAAAAAGAAGGAGGCAGCTCAGAAGATGCGCGTCCAGCCCAATAGCAGCCCTCATGGGGTGCAGGCACGGCTACACTGCAGCCTGTGTGCTGTGTCCTGCACCGGGGCTGACTCCTACGCTGCCCACATCCGGGGGGCCAAGCACCAGAAGGTAAGAGCCCCCCCCCCAGGCCCAGAGGTGCATCCGATGACATCAGAGGGGCGGCTGCTGATGAGAGGAAGCTTTCCCTGGAGGGCCCACATGTTCTCATTCCTCCAAAGCTACCCACCGTCTCACAGTTCTAGAAGTCCCACCTGCCCCCATGCAGAAGCATAGAGCAGTACAGGGAATTTCACCCCGACCCCAGAGGAAAAGCCCTTCTTGGCATTAGGTGTGTTTTTGTGTGTAGAAACGACTTTGCACATCAGCAAAAGCTCAATATATATTCCATTTGGGGTCCTGCTTTTTAAAAATAAGTAAGTCAAATAAATATGATTAAGTTTTAATGTCAATTTTAACAGCAATATTTTGATAAATTTTTAAATGTCTGTCTTAAAATATTCCTATTTTAATATCAACCTTTTTCTGTTGATACTAAAATGATGTTAAAAGGGTTTAAAAATGCCTGTGTTACGTTATCGTATGGGGAACACTGATGGATTCCCTAACTGAGAGAAGGTAGGGAGACGCCCACCTCTCTCCCGGGCCTGCTCTTCCCACCACCCAGAGGGTGCTTTTAGAAAAGCAGCAGCGCTCCCCAACATGGCGTCACTAATCCCCAAGGTATGTGCTGAAAACAGGAGGAGGTATTACTGGCCTAGAGACCCAGGGCCCAGGAGGGCTGGGCTGCAGGGGTCCTGGCTCCCAGCCTGGGACTTGTTTGGGGGTGGTCAGGGAGGCCGTGCAGCCGGCTGTCTGAGATGGTCATCGGTACACACCCTGGAGGCACTGGAGCAGGTACCTTTAACACGGGCCATGTATACCAAGGATGGGGTGTGGCGGACTCCTGGGTAGATCACACCATACCTAGGGGTATCGCACCCATCGGTCGCAGCGGGTGGGGCCATCATGTGCTCTTCACACCTGCTGTGTTCCCATCTGCAGTGGGCCCTGGGCTCCTGCTCCAGATGTAGAAAGTGGGGTTTGGAGGAAGGCATGGGTGTGAGCACAGAGGCTTGGGGTAATTCCTGGTCCTGCACATGCACCATTAGTAGGGCCTAGAAGCAGAAGATAGCTCAGGAAGGACCTTCCAGGGACGTGAGGCTTGGGAGCAGAAGACATTTAACTGGGAGCTAGGGAAGGGGTGACATCCCCAGGGACTGGGATGGGATCCCCCGCTCTCACTTCCACAGGCTGCCCCTGCATGCCCACTCTTCCTGCCTCTTGAGGAAAATCGATCAGGCTTAAAGGTGGCCCTGACAGCGGGGCTCGTTCTGTTTCAGGTCTTGAAACTGCACACTAAACTGGGGAAGCCCATCCCCACCGTAGAACCAGTGCCAGGGAACTCCAGCTTGACGCAGGCCACCTGCACCAGCAAACCGGCCTCCGTCACCACGGGGAGTCCCCCTACAGCCTCTGCCAAGCCTAAGGCCTCAGCCAAGCCTACCAAGTCTGTGATCCCTGCCAACCCCAGAGGGCCGGCCCCAAGCAGGACTGCACTGGCCAAGAGAGCGGTGGCTTCGAAGACCATGTGCATGGGTATGTGTCTGTGATTCATAGTCCTCCACTCGCACCTGACTCAGGTGCTCCAATTTCAGGGAAATGATTCTTCAGTTAACTTGGGTGGGTTGTGCTTGGCAGCCTCTGGTCCATACCCTCTGAACCTTTGATAGTAGACCATGTCAGGGAAGTGCTGGCAGGGCCAGCGGAATGGCACCTCCATTTCTTCCCTTGGAGCTCTGGGGTAGCCAGTGTTGGAGTGCTGGTGGTTCTGTGGAAGCCCGAGCCTAGGTCTGGAGACACCACTACCCTTCAGAGCCCGGTGCTCACAGTGAACAATGGCACAAGTAACGTGGACACCAGGAGATTGAAGCGCGCTCCCCACAGCCCCACCCTGGCCCCGCCTTGCCTCAAGTGTGGGAGGCATCCACTGTGACACAGGGTAGTAATGACTGCTGCGTGACATGTACTGAATGGATAACAACTAGGATTACATGTCAGGCACTCACTCCACTAACCGCTTCACAAACATTGCCTGATAGACCCTGTACAACTCTTCAGTGTAGACATTGTCATTAGTCCCAATTTGCAGATGGAAAAACAGAGGTGAGGTGAGCTAAAGTACTTGACTCCCAGGGCCACCCTGTAAACAATAAGGGCAGGATTCCAACCATCCGACAGGTCTCCCTGACAGTCTCTGCTCTTTACCACCCTACCTTGTGCCGGATAGGTGGGGAGGGGAGCTTATGTTACCTTTGGCCTCGGCAGCACTGTGTGTTAAATTGTAAAAGAAGGAAATGCCTTCCTCCCGCAAGGCCCAGAAAATCTGCCTAGGATGACCCAGTAGGCCTAGGATGACCAAGGCCCTGGGTCCTCAGAATATGCCCTTATCAGTTAAGGAAAGGCTACAGTCTGGCAGTCCTGGTTCCTCAGCCAGGGGCCTACCGCCAGGCCCTGGTATGGACGCATTCAGTGGTACTCGATGTCGTGTGGACCCCTTCCTCTCAGCCGTGTCCCCAGTCGGTGTGAGAAGGGTCTGCCAGACCGTGGAGTGACTGACTGACTTCACTTGGGGTGAATGGGGCAGCGGGAGACCGGGGTTTGCATGGAGCTCTCTGCTGGTGGCTGGAAGCAGCTCTGGTTTCTGGCTGGAGCAGGTTATAAGAAATGGAGTTCCTCCTTCTAGGGACTCCTCAGCCTCAGGCGGTGAGCAGCAGACCCTCAGAGAAGAAACCAGCACACCCCCTGTCAGAGGGGCCTGGGGAACCATCCACCCAGAGAGACTCTGGGAAAGCTTCTGGAAGCTGCTGCAACTCTGAGCCGGTGGGCCTAGACTATGTGGGAGAGGTAACTTCCACACAGGGGAGTTACCTTCTTGGGGAGACCGTCTTGCCCTCAGTCCATCCCTCAGTGTGTGCCCTGCCCTTCCTGATCTCTGGTGGTGAAGACCCTCGTCAAGGACCAGACATGCAGACCTCACCCAGGTTCTCTGTCTGAGGTTACACACCCCTCCCCGAGCAGACTTCAGGGAGCCAAAATGTTGAGAGTAACTTGCTCCCTGGAAGGTCCACATGCTGTGCTTCAGGTCCTAGAAGGAAGGCCTGAGATAGGCAGAGGCAGTTCCTGCCAGGCCACCCCTTTTCCTGGGGAAAGGAAGGTAGAAAGAGAAGTCTGTGTCCTAGAAGGCTAGACAGCTACCTCACTCTGTAGGCACGTGATTCTAGGGCATGAGGAGCCAGTGTGAGCCCTACAGGCCACACCACAGACACCCAGAGCCCAAGCAGTGGCCCCACAAGGCTTGTGTTAAAGTTCCAGCCTCTGCTGCATACTTGCAAAGGAAATGTGAGAATTAGCACATCTTCTGTTTTTGTGTTTGGGCTCTTTCTCAACCAATTCAGCATCTTCTGTTTGTCCTGGGCAAAATAACCACACCAGACAGGATTCCTGCCTCTGGAGAACCCTGTCATTTAGTAGTTTAAGGAGACGAGGTACATAAAAGCTGCAGGAAAGCAGAAGGGAAGCGATGGGCAGAAATCACATAGGACAAAGGCGGGTGCTCTTTGGGGCAGGGTGTTGGCTGCAGGTGGTTGCGCCTGGAGTGGGGAAAGGGGCCAGATGGTGGCAGAGGTGAGCCCGGGCTTGGGAGGCTGTGTTGGTGAGATGCCCCAATTCTGAACAAAACCGCCGGTGGGCAGGAAGCCCGTGTACCCACCCGCAGGGCATGCTGTTGCTCTGGCCCAGAAAGGTTTTGTGCCCTCAGTGTGGGGAGGTGGCCCTGCCCAGGGACAAGGCATCACGTGGGGACTCCCAGCTCAATGGACCTTGTGTCTCAGGTGCCCAGCGAGGAGGGCAAAGTGATCCGCTTCTACTGCAGGCTGTGCCAGTGCAGCCTCAACGACCCCAATGCCCGGGACACGCATGTGCGAGGCCGGCGGCACCAGCTGCAGTACAAGGTGTGCACGCGGCCTGGAGCTTGGGGTTGGAGGGGGGACACCATCAGGGCCCATGTCTCCAGATACCTCTTTTGCCTCCATGAGTCTGAGCTCCTGACAGTAGCCCTGGGCCCTGTGCTCCCAAGCTGCACCCAGATCTGCATTTCCCCCCTGCCAGCAGGCCACGGGAGCATGCACAGAATTGCGTTCGCCAGTTGCATTTCCTCCCTTGCTGATGAAAGTTTAGTCTGAAAACTCTTGTCTGCTTGGTGCCTGAGGCAGTTCTCAAGCACAGTCAGCTTGGTGATGTGGGTGCGAAGCAGGGCTTGCAAATACTGCCTCATTTCCCCAGACGCATGGCTTGGTTCTTTCAGAATTTGACACCTGTTGCTTTTCTTTTCTGAGGCCTCTGCCTCTTTTCTGGGGTGTGCTGGCTGAGCTGGGGAACGCCACAGGCAGCTGAGTTTTGCCCTCGTGGGGAGGCAGGTGGAGAGTCTGGGAGCTGGAGCCCAGTCTGATGGCTGCATGTCGGTCCAAGTTTTGTTCCGTGTGGTAGTTCCCTTGCTAGTGCCGTTGCTTTTGGAGATGAGGGTCTAAGACCCTGGGGATTGAAACCCAGCTGTCAGCAACCCAGCAGAAAGATGCCCTTCCCAGGCACACCCTGGTGCTCTCGTCTCGGTGAAGGTCGCCCATCTTACAGCCCTTCCTTTTCTTCCCAGCAAAAAGTGAACTCTGATCTTCTGATCGAGGTCAAGCCCAGCAACAGAATTCAGAAGCTCTTGGAGGAGAAGATAAGGAAGCGGAAGCAGCTGACTAAGAAGCGGCTCGAGGAGATGCGGCGCTGGCACGCAGAGATGAGGTGGCAGGGTCCCTGTGGAACCACCCCCTGCGCGCCCGTCCCAACGCCCTCTGACCCCAGGGCGGCTCTGGGAGCCAGCCATCCACCCTCCACTCATGTTTGGGGGATGTCGACTGTTGCTTTCAGGCCCGAGGACCCAGATGCTCATGACCTGCAAGTTGGGCAGGCGACATCGCACTTGGTGGAGACAGGGAGACTTTTAGAGGAGCGGGGCCCTGTGCTCAAGTCACGCTGAGGGTCTGTCCCTAATAGACTCAGGACAGTGAAGCGGCACCAACCATGGCCAGGCATTCTAGGCCTGATCACAAGGACATCCTGGTGGCCCCCAGTCCTCCTGGTCCCTGGTGTCTTCCTGACCACTGTGTCTCCACGTTCCCCTGATCCTTGGTGTTCCCGACCATCCACACATTTCTCAACCATCCTTCTTCACCCTTAGAGCAATTCCAGCTCATTTGCTGACATGAGTCTGATGCACCGAAGATCTGAGGCAGCGTCTGAGATGGGGAACTAGGCCCAGGACAGATTTAGGGGCTGCAGCCACTCAGGCTGCGCCCCTTCCTTCCCAGCAGTTGCCCTTCACCCATGTCCTTGGGGCTTGTGTCCTCAGTCTCCCTGGCATACAGTGGGCGTGGGGCAGTCCTGTGCCATGGGCTCTTCCAGGGTCCCAGTGCATTATTGTGTCTCTCCTTGTCATCCTGGAGCCCAGCTTTGCTTCCGGGGCTTCTGCAGGTTGCCAGGGGCAGCAGGCTTGCATGTTTCCCACGTGCAATCCTAGGGGCCTGCAGCTGCTGACACGCTTTGTCCTTCTCTTTGCCCTGCAGACGCTTTGACCTGTGCAGGAAGCGGCAGGAGGAGGGGCCGCAGGTCCAGGACAAGCACCCTGGACACTCACCACCCAACCAGGGCGCCCTTCCCCTCACGAGCAGGCCAGGGGCGCCCCCGTCCAGGCCTCTGGTGTGTGGTGTGCTTGTCTGTGCTGCAATGCCTCCTGTGGCGGAGGCCCCACTGGGGGCATGCTGCTTCCCCTACCCTCCCAAGAAGGATGTGCCTCTTCCAGGAATGAGGAACAGGACTTTGGACGAAGACCCCTAAAGGGTGCCCATAGGGTGGGAGCTGGAAGAGCATGAGGGCCTATGGCCCAGACTCCCTCTCTGCTCACTGACAGGAGCCCAGGCCCAGGCCCCACCCCCACCCCCCCATGGCCATAGTTGTCCCTTCAGATTCCCAAGGCTCCCGTTGTCACATCCCTCAGGAGCCCTTAGGTGCCCATTGGTCTGCCCCTGCAGGCTGGGCCCTGGGGTTGGATGGGGACCTTAGCTTTGCATCTTACTGAGGTGGGGAGGCCCACTGAGTTGCCTGAATAGGCTCTGGCCCGGAAGTGTAAGAATATAGCTGAAGGGGAGTCCAGTAGTCCCCACTCAGCCCCAGCTCCCCAGAGCCATCACCACCCATGGGTCCCCATCATTCCTCAGCCCAGCTCTCCAGCTGCTTCCTGCCCATCACTCCCAAAGCCAGGCTGACTGGGGTTCCCCATGTCCTCCTGCCGTGTGCGCCTCTACAGGACTGGCTTGCATCCTGGCCTCTGTCTGCCGGGTCCCTTGGACCTCTCAACCTGCTCATGGCGTGTGTGCCTTTCCCCACAGCCCGTGCGGCAGCAGGAGTCCAGCAGTGACCGGCACGTCATGTGCAAGCACGCCACCATCTACCCCACAGAGGAGGAGCTCCTGGCCATCCAGAAGGCCATCTCCCACTCGGAGCAGGCCCTCAAGCTGGTGTCTGACATGCTGGTCCAGGAGAGTCCCAGAAGCCCAGCGCAGGAGGGTGGCGAGTGCGGGTAGGAGAAAGCACCCTCCTTTGCAAGGCCCAGGGGTGGCTTGGGGGAGGTGAGGGGTCTTCGCCTCAGAGGAGGGTCTGGGTTCCAGGCAGGAAGTGGCTGCCAGGAGGGGCAGAGGTGGCCCCATCTCTCATTGGCTCTAAGGCCTCTGTGGTCATTGGGGCTTTCTAGCCTGTGGGCAGAAAATCCCCCGATTGACTCTTCCTGTTGAAGGCGCCTCTAGAAATGTAGCTCACAGAGGACTGAGCACCTCTGTTTCCCCATCTGCATCACTGGAGGTAAGTGTGACTTGAGCACCCTCTGCCTCACAGAGCGATTAAGGCACCGGAGCAGAAGATGCCACTGGGCAGCCATGCGAATCATCCTTCCAGTCACTCTGGTTCTGGGGATGCAGAAAAGACCCAATGCCTTGTCATCCGTCATTAACACTATTTAAATAATCCAGGAGGGATTTGCTTTCCCAAGTCTTCCTCTCTGGGTGGCTTCTCAGTCATTTCCTTGTTTAAGTTTGTTTTTATTATGATAAAATACTTGCAGGCCAAAATTTGCCATCGTAATCATTTTTGTGTGTACAATACAGCAGCACTAAGGACATTCACAAGCGTGTACAGCCATCACCACTATTTCCAGAGCTTTGTTACCGTCAGAAACAGAAATCTGTTCCCATTAAACACCCCACCCCCTGCCCCAACCCCTGGTGCACACCATCCCACCGCCTGTCTCTGGCTTGGCCGGTTTCATGTAAGCGTCTGTCCCTTTGTGTCTGTCTGAGTCCATCTAGTCGCTCTTTACCACAGAGCATGCACCCAGAAAAGAATGGGCTTGCCACGTTGCCACGTGGGAGTTCCAAAATGTCATAAGACGAACTCACCCCCCGAGCTTCAAAACAAGAACCCCCTCCCCGCCAAAATGTTGCATCTGCTTGGGAGAATACACCTTCACCTGCCTGGTAGTGAAAGTGAGGGTCCAAAGAGACATTTCTTCCAGGGCCCCGCACCCACCCCCACCACCATGTGAAGTGATAGCACGGGTGGCAGAGTCTGATGGGAGTCTTTGCACCGTGGCACCGTCGCCACTCAGGTGTGCCTGGGGCTTAGAGTTTGCTCAAGAGTAAAGAAGAGGGTCCTGTGACACTTGCCCCCAGCCCTGTTTAGAGGGACGAGGGCCCTTGGCTGCTGAGCGCCATACGGATGGGTGAGCGCAGGAAGCCGGGCGGCAGGAGCATGACTCCCACCTGCTCAGAGCTGCTGGGCCAGATTTCACTGGCGGCCTCCTGAGCCAGGTCCCTTTGGGCTGTGTTGGCTCTAGCACTCTATGGTCCCAAAACAGATAAGAAATATGTAAATGTGTTAAAAAAAGAAGTTTCTCTCTCTGCAATTACAAGAAGTATCAAAAAGAAAGCAAAATGATGATTTGAGGGTGGCAGGAGTGGTGGCAGCCTATGGAACCTAGGAGGGGCCGTCTGTGTAGAGATCTGCCACCTGAGGGCACCCCAGGCGAAAGGCCCACCGGGAGAGTGCTCCCGGGCTGGGAACGGGCCTTGTGGGCTGGGGCATAAGGACCAAGAAGGGGTGGGAGGAGAGGATGGTGGCAGGGAGGCCTGGGGGGGGGTCAGGCTGCGGCCTCCAGCTGCAGAGAGACGCCTGGGTGTTCTGACCTGAAGAGGGGCAGCACCAGGAGGCGGGGCGGACGCCACGGCCAGGTTCACATCGCAGAAAGCTGGCCTTGTGCTTCAGAGAAAGAACGGAGCAGAGACCTAATCCCTTAGGCCTTGAAAGATGGCAGGGTCGCGAGGAGTGGGAGATGGGGGCAGTGTTCCATGTAGAAGGACCGGTACCTGCAGAGGCCGAGAGGCAGGAAGCCCTGGGAGAGGTGTGCCTGAGCAGATGGTGACCTGGATCAAGCCAGGACTGAATGCCGAGGGTAAGCAGAGGAGGAGCTGAGGTCAGGGTGACGCTGCCCCAGAGATGCTCGGAAGGAGCACAAAGTGAGGGGCCAGCCCGGGTGGTGCCAGCTGGCTGCGGGCCAGGGACCGCTGGAGATGGTGTTTTCCAGAATGTGTATCAGGAAGTAGTAAAGACCACCCTGAACGCGTACAGTCTGGCAGCCCAAGTGCTTTTCTCCAGTGTGTCTTATCAAGTACCCTCTGGGAAAGGGGCGTGCTCCCACCTCCAGATGAGGAAGCTGAGGCACAGAGCCCAGCAAGGAGCTCGTGAGTGCCGGACCCAGGGACCCGCGGCAGGGCCACACGCCCCTTTCCCCCAGCCCCTCTTCTTGCCCTTGGAGATGCTCACACACATACGGGCGGCTTATCTTCACAGTGGCACCGACTCCTCTGCTCGGGCGCTGAAGGGCGTGATGCGGGTTGGCCTCCTGGCAAAAGGCCTCCTCCTGCGGGGAGACAGGACCGTGCAGCTGATCGTGCTCTGCTCCCGGAAGCCCACCCGCACCCTGCTGCAGAGAATCACCCGGCAGCTGGCCCTGCAGCTCCCGGTAAGGGGCGCAGCTCGCTCATCGGGCTCCAGACGGGGATGGCCTTGTTTCCACATGATTCTAAGAAATGAGATGTCACTGTTAGACACAAACCAGTTTGTTTTATAAACAGAAAGCAGTAAAACGCAGGGTTTTCTTCATAAAGTGAGTTCAGGGTAAACCTCAGAAACAGTGTAAATGTCCCACCACTGAGGGTGGCCTCTTATGTTCCATCCACCTGACAGCCTCAACCAACCAGTAAAGAGGATAAATGGTGACCAAAACTGCACAGGACCGTTTACAGCTGTGAGCTTCACATCTACACAAGGCCTTGTGCCCAGATGAGAACCTAGCACTTTGTAGATGCACAGGTCTGCCAGCCTCACGGCTTCACTTCTCAGACTTCCTGAGTTTTGTCTTTCTCACGGGTGGTGATGACGCCTCACGGTAATTTTAATTTGTTTCTCTCTTACCACGGAGGTGATCTGTGTCATTCTGTAAAAAGGGTCATTTCTCTTTCTACAAACAATGTGTGTATCACTGTTTTTTAAAATTAGATTGCTGGTTTTGTTGTTGAACTGGGTGTTCTTTACACATGAAGGCACCTAAACACAGGGTCCATTGTCCATATGCATTTTTATGTCCCTGGAAGGCAGCGTCTGTGTCTCAGGCCCGTGGAGGTTCCACATGCCCTGCATGGAGCCTGTCACCCAACCGTGTCCTTGATGTTTACACCTGCCTTTCAGCTGGAGTAACTCCACCTTCTGTTGTATTTGTACATCCCAGATGGTGACAGAGGACAAGTACGAGGTCTCATCTGACACCAAAGCCAACATTGTCATTTCCTCCTGTGAGGAGCCCAGGATGAGGGTCACTGTGTCGGTCACCTCACCCCTGATGCGGGAGGACCCCTCCACGGACCAAGGTGTGGCCTGGCCCCCCACCCTACATATCCAGGTGGCCTAAAGTGACATCTGCCTCTGTTCTGGGTGGGGTGGGGGCTGTGGCCAATAACCTGGCACTTCTGTCAGCCCCGGATGCCACTTGTCAGATGACAGTTGGGCCTTGTGGCAGCAGAGGAAGTGAGCAGGTGACAGCATCAGCTGTGCTCAGAACCCTGCAGGTTCTGAGGTGTGCACACTCAGCACCACATCCTCCCTTGCATCTAGGCCAGCATGGGCACGTTCCCCACCCAGGGAAACCAGCTGTGCCAGGTCCGGTCCCCCAGCTGCAACAGGAGGCTCAGCTTGACTCTGTCCTGTCTGTAGCAGGGGCTACAGCAGACCCTGCTTGTCTGACAACACTGTGTGGGATTCGGGGGTCCAGGGGGCCTTAAGGCAGATGGGCATTGCCTGAGAGAGTGGGAGGGCTGCTGGTCCAGGCCCACTGGTGGTGAGGGTCTTGAGTCAGGTCCGCACAGTAAAGGCCAGGTAGGGATGGATGCACTGTGTGTCTCGCTGAGCCACAGAACCACCTGGAACAGCCCCCAAGACTGTTCCAAAGCGCAGGCACTCTGGAACCCCTACAGGGTTGTTGTCTGCCATAGCTGAGGAGCACAAACCACTAATGTTGGTCTTAAAATCACTTCGTTTTTTAAGTCAGTCCATCACCTAAGTTTTTAAGAGGAGTGCCTTTGAACCGTAAGTGGAAACCCATTACCAGTTGTCATAAATAGTCATCTGAGACAGCAATACAGGGGGCAAAAAGCCTGACACTGCTGGGTGGCAGCCAAAGTCCCTGCTAGTCTGCCCAGCGCATGCCCAGGGGAGACTGGGAATGCAGGAATGGCTAAAGCACCATGGCTGCTGGACAGAGGCGGGCGGGAAGGAGGCCCCCCTGGGACGAATGCTGCGTTGGGGCCACAAGCTGCCCACCAACTGCCTCCTTCCTCGGGTGTCCAGCCCCCAGCTCACTTGTGCAGGGAGGGGACCTTCCTCATAGACACACCCCTGTCATTTCCATCTGAGCCTAAGTGGAGGTGCTGACCTGCGATGGATGCCATGTGAGACCTGAGTCACCCAGGGCCCCCTGGATGCGAGAGAATGTTCCTGAAGCAGTCATAATAAAAAGGAAAAAACTACCTGAATTTCTCCTAGAGGGGGCCCTTGGTCATCAATGATGGGAACCTGTTCAGATCTAACCCACGTTCTCCCTTTTAATTATGCATTTGGAAGTGTCTGGAATTCTGGCTTAATTCATAGTCTTACATCTGAAACATAATTTGCTAATCGTGGGAGTCGGCACTGAAGGCACTCAGTGACAAGCATGCTGCCCTTCCCCAGTGGGGCGCGTACCTTGGAGGAGATGTGGTTTCCTGGGGATGATTTCTCTGGTCCTTGCAGTGTTGCGGAGAGAGGCCAGGAGGAACTGTGTGTCTTCCAGATGATTAAAATGAGGCCCTGAGAACTGAGGGGCCCTGCCCAGGAGGGCCTGGGGAGGTGGGACGGGAGGGGAGGGGTGTCCAGACCGCATGCCCTTCTCTTCTCTTCTAGGAGTAGAGGTGCTTCAGCCCGACCCCGACCCAGAGGATGTCCTGAGCCCAGAGAGGTGTCTCCAGTCACTGGCTGCCCTCCGCCGTGCCAAGTGGTTCCAGGTCAGGGCGGGAGGGGGCCACGTCTGTCTGTCTGTCTGTCCTCCCAGCTGTACGTCTACTGCATGAGGACTCCAAATACAAACACAGGGCAGACGTCTGTGTGGCGCCTCCTGGCCGAGCCCTGACCTGATAGATAGAGGTTAACTCCTGCTCATGGGGGCCAGAACTTTGAAGGAGTGACTTGTGCTCTGGGGGTGGAGATGCTGCTGCCCATGTGGGAGTGGACCCCATTCCCAGCCGCCACCCTCGAGGCCAGCGTGCCCTGCCCCCGGAATCCCTCCCTGGCCTGCACGGCCCTGAGGGTCAGTCCTTGTTCACTCGGCCTCATGCACACTTTCCTTGTGGCTCTGTGCACGTGGCTCCCAGACCTAATGGTGCAATTCTTCCCCCAAAGGCACGAGCCAGTGGCCTGCAGACGTGTGTGATTGTCATCAGAGTCTTTCGGGACCTCTGCCAGCGCATGCCTACGTGGGGGGCCCTGCCATACTGGGTAAGGGGCTCCAGGCAGCCAGCCCTGCTGGGAGAAGCCCCCCAAGGGCCTCTGCAGCTCCAACAGACCTCATTTCCTCCTGAGGAAACAAACATTCTCCTTCCCAGCACCCAGCATCCCAAGAAGGTCCCCACATAAGCCTGAGCACCTAAGGAGAGAGAGAGCCCGAGGGAGTGTTCCGGGGGTCCCTTGGGGCCAGGAAGTGGCCTGCTAAGGAACAGCCTTGATGACTGCCGTCATCTTAGACCCACCACCGTGCAGACATGGGCGGGTACTGGGCAAGTGCAAGGGGGCTCCTGGCACAGACCCACCTCCTCTGCGCAGGGGAAGCCCCCTGCGGCTCTAACGCCTCTGCTCAGGAGGCCCAGGCCCATCCGGGGGAGGAGGCGAGGAGCAAGGAGCAAGGTCCCCCATGTCCCCAGATCCCTAAGCTGCTGGCCCCGCGGCTCCCTGCCCTCTCTGTCCCCATGCTACCTTTCCTTGGGACTGCGTCTCATCTCCGTGCCCCTCGGTGGGTCTGTCTCTGAGCATGACCCCCTCTCGTTCATGCTGAGGGGTATTCGCCTGCTATGTACAGCCTTCTCTGCTGTCCAGCCCCTTCCACGTCCAAAGCCAGGTTGTTGAACAAGCAGACCCTTCCCACCCTGGCCTTCCTCATGTGGCCTTCTCCAAAACCGAGGACTCCAGTGCCCACTGGGACCTCCGCTTCCTGCCCAGTGGCCCAGGAGGCGTCTGCTTTTGACTGAGTGACTAGCGTAGGGTCTACTCTAATGCTGAGGCCCATGCTCCCCAGGAGCCGCTTTCCTGTAAATGTGGAAGTGCCCGGCACAAGCCTCTGCCCTCAAGACTGCCAGGCAGGGTGACTCCTTGGAGGAGGGGTTACAGCCTGCGAGCCACCAAGTTGCCATGACCCTGACTAACTACCACACGTCAGAGGGGCAAGTCTCCTTTGCCCCTTGTGACACTAGTTTGCAGTGTCATCAACTGGATGTTGCTGATGGGGAAACTAAGGCATGGGGTAAGAATCCTGCCCATGGCTATGCCAGGAGGTGGTGAGACCCCAGTGACCACGCTCCTCCGTTGAGGGTGGGTAGGAATCAGGGAAAGAGCTGGGGGGCTTCCTGTCCCAGGGGCCCCAGGAGACCCCTGCCAAGCCCTGTAGAGCCTCGGGTAGGAGGTGAGCTGGCAAGGCTCCCTCTTCAAAGACACAACATCTCCTTTCTGTCCCTGCCTGGCAGGCCATGGAGCTTCTGGTGGAGAAGGCTCTGAGCAGCACAACGCAGCCCCTGAGCCCTGGGGCCGCTGTGCGGAGGGTCCTGGAGTGCATGGCCTCGGGCATGCTCCTGACAGGTCAGTCCCTGTGGGCCAGCCAGGCAGACGGTGGCACCAACAGTGGGCTGTGTGCAGAGATGCTCGGCACGGTGTGGTTTGCAGCAGCAGAAAGGAAAAGGCCTTGAGCTGCACTTGGCGATGCTCCGTGCAAGCGCGGCCTTTCCCGAGCTGTGGTGACTTGGGCCGCAGTGTGCTCGTGGGAGAAGAGCCTGATGCATGGGGCTGGGAGTGAGCTGTTTACGGCACTGTGCTGCACTCACATGCCTGTGCGTGCACGCACGCGCACACAAGCTGGGAGGAGCTCTGCTGTGCTCGCCTGGGGACAGAGGGAGGATGGGGGGGCCTCCAGAGAGGCCCCCAGGGAGCCCCTGTGCCTGCAGAGGCCGGGCAGGCCCAGTGTGGCCTAGGGGGCTGTGGGGGAGAGCCCCACCTGGACCCTCAGGCCTCCACATTGCAGAGCAGCGGGGACAGTCTGTCACGAGGGTGCTCTCTCCTTCTTCGCCACCCCTGCCTCCCCTACCAAAGATGGGCCAGGGCTCCAGGATCCCTGTGAGAGAGACCCGGTGGACACCCTTGGATCCATGACCCCCCAGGAGCGTGAGGACCTCACGGCCAGCGCACAGGTAGGATGGCCGGCCAGGAAATGGTCTGGGGTTTCCCATCCCTCTGTCATTCTTTCCTCCTGCAGAGGTAGGTGGCCCATGGGTGGCTCAGGGGTGACAGCCCCGTTTCCAGGGTCGGGGCCAGACTGGCTCAGAGCCACCACGAAGAGGAACAGACCTGCGGCCTCACTGGCAGGGACTGTCCAGGGTGCCGCCGCAGCCCGTCCCGTGAACACCCAGCTGTGGCTTCCAGCTCGGCCACCAGCCTCAAGCCCCAGACCAGAGCCCCTGCCTGGGCTTCCCTTTGCTCAGCAAGTTTATTTGTAAGAACATCTCCCAGCAGTAGAAAAAGTCACATGGGATGTGACATTTATGAATCGCCTTTAATGGGAAGGGCCAAACTGTAATGGGTACGGAACTGGGAGATGTAAGATTTGGGGTCCCCACAGGGAAGCTGGAAGGAGCCAGTGCTCCTAGGGGCTTGCCCAGGGGCTTCCAGCCAAGTCTGGCCTCCAGGAGCCACGGCAACTCCCAGCCCAGTTCTCCACAACCATGGTGCCCTGAGCTCAGTTCCTGGAAGAGGTCGCCTGGTGGCCCCGATGTCCACACAGGCTCAGGCAGGGTGGGCAAGCAGGGCCGGCGGGAGTGTCCTGATAGCCGTCTGCCCACAGCACGCCCTGCGCATGCTGGCGTTCCAGCAGATCCACAAGATCCTGGGCATGGACCCTCTGCTACCCCCCAGAACCAGGCCCGGCATGCACGTCCGGAAGAGGCTGCGGGAGGCGCGAGAGGCCCAGGAAGGTGAGGGCCAGAGGAAGCAGGCCCGGCAGGGTGGAGAAGGGCCTGTGTGAGCGGCCAGGCCTCCCACAGCCGGACCTGACATCCCTCCAGCAGCTGCTTCGTCCTGGACTCTGGGCAGTCGTGTGTGCCTTTCCAGTATTGTTCTATAGGTTCCTTTAGAAACACCTGTGCTTAGATCATTAGATTGAATCGTCAGGGGACGTGAGCCCGCTGGGACAGCACCCCGCACCCCAAAGCCTGTTGCCATGGCAGGGTAGAAGGTGCAATGGGACAATTTCAACCCCAGGCATTTCCCGAGGGTGTGCAGAGGCCGGGTCTCCAGTCCCCAGGTCCAACCTGCTCTAAACTGACCACCCATTCCCACTCCCTAGCCTAGAGGTGGCCCTGCAGCCAGAGGTCTGTGGGGCCTGGGTGGGCTTGTCCTTGAGTCGCTGCCATGGGGAGGTGACAGGGCTGAGGGGTGGGGAGGATGCAGTCTGGGCACTCCCTGGCCTCAGAAACATCTGTAATCCGACCGTCTGCCCTTACCCTGAGACTCCTCACCTCACCCCGTACCACTGAGTGCCTTCTGCTCACAGAGTTGCACCATACTGTCTCCTGTAGGGCTGGGGCCTGCCTTTCGCGGCCATCCTGCCATCCGCCCTGCACAGGTTCAGCCTCTGCAGGTCCCGGGCACGCCTCCTGGGAGCAGCATCCGGGGGCCATGCCTGGTGCAGGGCCAGGGGTCAGGCGCCTCCCGGCACTGGTGGGCGTGGGGCACCCTCTGCCCAGCACTGCCCCGATCCGTCCAAACCTGTCTTTGCAACAGATTTTCTTGTCTGGTTTAGTGTGCTCGTGGGAGAAGAGCCTGATGCATGGGGCTGGGAGTGAGCTGTTTACGGCACTGTGCTGCACTCACATGCCTGTGCGTGCACGCACGCGCACACAAGCTGGGAGGAGCTCTGCTGTGCTCGCCTGGGGACAGAGGGAGGATGGGGGGTCCTCCAGAGAGGCCCCCAGGGAGCCCCTGTGCCTGCAGAGGCCGGGCAGGCCCAGTGTGGCCTGGGGGGCTGTGGGGGAGAGCCCCACCTGGACCCTCAGGCCTCCACATTGCAGAGCAGCGGGGACAGTCTGTCACGAGGGTGCTCTCTCCTTCTTCGCCACCCCTGCCTCCCCTACCAAAGATGGGCCAGGGCTCCAGGATCCCTGTGAGAGAGACCCGGTGGACACCCTTGGATCCATGACCCCCCAGGAGCGTGAGGACCTCACGGCCAGCGCACAGGTAGGATGGCCGGCCAGGAAATGGTCTGGGGTTTCCCATCCCTCTGTCATTCTTTCCTCCTGCAGAGGTAGGTGGCCCATGGGTGGCTCAGGGGTGACAGCCCCTTTTCCAGGGTCGGGGCCAGACTGGCTCAGAGCCACCACGAAGAGGAACAGACCTGCGGCCTCACTGGCAGGGACTGTCCAGGGTGCCGCCGCAGCCCGTCCCGTGAACACCCAGCTGTGGCTTCCAGCTCGGCCACCAGCCTCAAGCCCCAGACCAGAGCCCCTGCCTGGGCTTCCCTTTGCTCAGCAAGTTTATTTATAAGAACATCTCCCAGCAGTAGAAAAAGTCACATGGGATGTGACATTTATGAATCGCCTTTAATGGGAAGGGCCAAACTGTAATGGGTACGGAACTGGAAGATGTAAGATTTGGGGTCCCCACAGGGAAGCTGGAAGGAGCCAGTGCTCCTAGGGGCTTGCCCAGGGGCTTCCAGCCAAGTCTGGCCTCCAGGAGCCACGGCAACTCCCAGCCCAGTTCTCCACAACCATGGTGCCCTGAGCTCAGTTCCTGGAAGAGGTCGCCTGGTGGCCCCGATGTCCACACAGGCTCAGGCAGGGTGGGCAAGCAGGGCCGGCGGGAGTGTCCTGATAGCCGTCTGCCCACAGCACGCCCTGCGCATGCTGGCGTTCCAGCAGATCCACAAGATCCTGGGCATGGACCCTCTGCTACCCCCCAGAACCAGGCCCGGCATGCACGTCCGGAAGAGGCTGCGGGAGGCGCGAGAGGCCCAGGAAGGTGAGGGCCAGAGGAAGCAGGCCCGGCAGGGTGGAGAAGGGCCTGCGTGAGCGGCCAGGCCTCCCACAGCCGGACCTGACATCCCTCCAGCAGCTGCTTCGTCCTGGACTCTGGGCAGTCGTGTGTGCCTTTCCAGTATTGTTCTATAGGTTCCTTTAGAAACACCTGTGCTTAGATCATTAGATTGAATCGTCAGGGGACGTGAGCCCGCTGGGACAGCACCCCGCACCCCAAAGCCTGTTGCCATGGCAGGGTAGAAGGTGCAATGGGACAATTTCAACCCCAGGCATTTCCCGAGGGTGTGCAGAGGCCGGGTCTCCAGTCCCCAGGTCCAACCTGCTCTAAACTGACCACCCATTCCCACTCCCTAGCCTAGAGGTGGCCCTGCAGCCAGAGGTCTGTGGGGCCTGGGTGGGCTTGTCCTTGAGTCGCCGCCATGGGGAGGTGACAGGGCTGAGGGGTGGGGAGGATGCAGTCTGGGCACTCCCTGGCCTCAGAAACATCTGTAATCCGACCGTCTGCCCTTACCCTGAGACTCCTCACCTCACCCCGTACCACTGAGTGCCTTCTGCTCACAGAGTTGCACCATACTGTCTCCCGTAGGGCTGGGGCCTGCCTTTCGCGGCCATCCTGCCATCCGCCCTGCACAGGTTCAGCCTCTGCAGGTCCCGGGCACGCCTCCTGGGAGCAGCATCCGGGGGCCATGCCTGGTGCAGGGCCAGGGGTCAGGCGCCTCCCGGCACTGGTGGGCGTGGGGCACCCTCTGCCCAGCACTGCCCCAATCTGTCCAAACCTCTCTTTGCAACAGATTTTCTTGTCTGGTTGCCCAGTGGGGTTGGAGGAGAAAAGTGTCTTTGGGCCAAGGCAAGCCATGTCACTTGATTGCTTTGATGTCCCTTCTGTGTTTAGGGAACAGCCTGTGTGTGTCTTCATGCTAATGTCCTCGCAGAGCTACCTGGAGGACAGCTTGGTGGGAATAAACAAGGTGTCTACTCTTTGGGTGTGGACTGTGCTGTCCTTTGGTCTGGTGCGACCAGCCCCGCTGGGCCCTCCTGACGTCCCGAGGGGCTCTGTGCAGGGGGCTCTAGGCAGGGACACTGGACCAGCCTGCATTTCTCTTGAGTGTGGATGGGAAGGAAGTCTCCAGGTGTGGGCCCCCCAGGCCGTCCCCACACTGCAGTTCCCTGGGGGCCCAGACAAATGCTCATGTCACACAGGCCGGCCACTCAAGGGACCCACCCCCACTGACAGCTTTGGGCCTGAGGGCATCAGGCTGTGGTTGGGGGCAGGGAAGGGAACAGAGGGAAGCAGGTGGGGGAGGCAGCAGTGGGCTCCAGCGGGAGTGGCATGTGTCACGGCACAGAGGTTGAGGTGCAGGGCAGAGAGAGGGCCTGGACCCTTTCTCAGAGCCAGGCCAAGGGAGCATCAGCCGTGCAGGCAAGTGAAACCCAGCCTGGTTCTAGCTGCCTCCTCTCCCTGCCAAAAGTGCAGGCCGCACTCTGCTGCATGTGGCTCCTTCCCAAGTGGCTCCCCTGCCTCTTACAGACACCCCAACCACAGCCCAGAGATAGGACCGCCCTCAGCTGGTCCTGGCTGCAGACACAGCCTGGGAGCAGGGTTAGGGTCCAGGAGGGCCCCGGCATTCTCCATCTCACGGGGGATCTGCACCCCGCACAGCTTCCCTCCCTCTGCATCCTGGTCAGCAGCTTTGCCATTCACCCAGCTGCCCAGGCTCCTTTGTGCTCAGAGCCATGCCATCAGGAAATCCTGTCAGCCCACTTCTGCTGTGGTGCTGTGCTGCTTCAAACCTCCAGAGCAGGGACTCAGGAGAAACCCTCAGATGCCAACAAAGCCCCTTTAAGAACCTTTCTGCCACCCTCTCCCTGAATCACCCCACCTCAGGCTCACCAGTCTCTGCTAGTCTACAGACCAGCCAGACTTGTTACTGCCCCAGAGCCTTTGCCCACACTGCCAAGTCAGCTCTTCCCCTCCTGTGTAGACAGTGACTCCTTCCCTCCTTCAGGTCTCAGCTCAGGTATTGCCTCCTCAGAGAGGCCTCCTTGACCCCCTCAACCTGTCACACAACCCTTTTCATTTCCCACATATCACTGATGTGAATTCTCTGCAGGCAGGAAGTATATGTACCTTCTCACCACAGTATCCCCAGGTCTAGAACAGACCAAGTACACAGTAGTAGCTCAATAAAAATGTTAAATGTTTGCAGCCATGCTCTGACGCCTAAACACAAGTCTCTTAGAGGGATTTGCCTCCCAGTGGGTTAAGAAGACACTGTATTTCCACCTTGTGCCAGGAGATTATTGTAACAGTTGGGGCGAGAGTCTTCGGCCTCGGGCAGTGGCAGTAGGAAGAAGGGGAAGGAGAGTGGTTTTGCTTTCATGCTGAGGGGGCTGCAGGTGACGACGAGAGCTGCACCCCATCTGGGTCCTGCTGCTGGGAACTGCACGCAGCATTTGCAGACTGACTTCCTCCCTTACATCCTGGCAGGGGCGGCTCTTGAAAACCTCATTACCGCTGTTCACCAGTCCTATCCCCGGCTCCTGGGGAAGACGGATACTATCATTGCCACCAGGTGGTTGAAAACTGATCCTATTGACGGCGAGTTACATATACCCCCCTAACGACTTAAAGCAACAGAGTTTAGGCGACGTGACAGCAAAATCAAGCAGTTGGTTAGCAAAGTATTCCGAGCAGATGGATGAAACGTCTGGGCGCGTGAGCTCGCTGCAGGCCTGACGGGCAGCCGCCTCTGATCTCTCCTCCTCAGCCCTCTTCCCACCGGGCCGAGGACCTCTGAGCGCCTGGCGGCCGGCGGGAAGACCGCGGACCGCTGAGGCAGGGAGAAGCATGCGGAGCCGGCGGCGCGGGTCCTCGGGCTGCGGGTCGCGGGCAGGCGAGCCCGGTTGCTAGGAGACGGCGGTGCGTGCGGGACGCAGGAGGCGCCGCGCGGGAGGGGCTGGAGCCCGACCTGGCGGGCAGTCAGCAAAGAGAAACAAGGGTGCCAACCCCATCTGCAAAGCACCCATCATATGGAAAGATAAGGTGAACACGCGCCGCGGTCCGGATCGGAAATAAGTTGCATGCGGTGGTAGAGAGGGCATCTCCGAGGCTTGGCCGGTTCCAGCAGCTTGTTTGGGGAAATGCTGGCTCCATCTTCTCCCGGCGGCCTGTTAGGCTGCCTTCCCAGGCTGAGAACATGTTTCAGGCGAGTGGATTAAGGCTCTGCTGAACAGTCCGGCCAGAGCACCCGAGTCTCTTGCCTAAGGTGGAGAAGGTGACTGGGATTTGGGGATGGGGGGGTGGCAACCATTTATACCCAAGTCTGAAGAATAAAATGTGTTAGGAAACATACGTGCATACCCAAGTTTACAACAGTAATTTTCACAGTAGCCAAAAGGTGGAAATAACCCCAGTGCCCATAGATGGATGGATGGATGGATGGATGGATGGATGGATGGATGGATGGATGGATGGATGGATGGATACACGCAATGTGGTCCAGCCACACACTGAAACATTATGCAGCCTTAAAAAGGAAGGATATCCTGCCACCTGCTACAGCGTGGACGGACCTTGAGGACACTGTGCTCAATGAAATAAACCAGACGCGAAAGGACAGACCCTGTCTGATCCCACTCCTAGGAAGTCCCTAAAGGAGCCCCATCCACAGAGACAGGAAGTGGGGGGGGGCCAGGAGTTGGGGGAAGGAAAGGGGTTAGTGTTCCATGGGGAAAGAGCTTCAGTTTGGGAAGAGGGAAAGTTCTGCAGATGGAGGGTGGGGCGGTTGCCCAGCAGTGTGAATGTGCTTCATGCCACTGAGCTGGACACTTAAACATGGTAAAGATGGTCAACTTTATGGTCTGTTTTTAACACAATAAAATTTTTTTTAATGTATTGGGTTTTTCCCATTACAAAAACCTCTTAAGTTTCAGAAGCATGGCAGAGGGGAAACAAAGTCGCCACTATTGCTAGGCGACAGTCTTGACACTGTGTGCTTCCTCCCTGTCCCCCTGTGCTCTCCTGGCTGTTGATGGGTTGTTACTCCATTTTGATTCACATGACGTAATTACAAGTTTGATATCTCACATGTTTTCAGTGTGCTTAGATAGACTTGTCCTAATTTAAGTCTTCTGGAGAACTTACAAGCCTTTTTTTCTCTCTTGTGGTAAAATACACACAATATAAAATTCACCACTTTATTTCAAAGTGTACAGCTCGGGTGTTTGATGTCTTCACAGAGTTGTACAGCCGTCACCTCTCTCTAGTTCCAAAACATTTCCGTTACCTCAAACAGAAACCCCATCCCCAGTAGCCATCAGTCCTCGTCTACCCTCCCTGGGCTCCTGACACCCACGAGCCCACTTTCAGTCTGTGGACTTACCTTCTATAGACATTTCACAGAAATAGAATTGCATACCGTGGGGCCTTTTGCGTCTGGCGCCTCTCACCGAGCACCGTGTGTTCAGGGTCTGTCTGCGTAGCGTGTGTCAGAGCTTCACTCCTTTTCGAGGCTGAGTAATAGTCCAGCATGGGGATGGACCAAGGCTTGTTTATCCATCCATCCATTGCTGGCCATTTCGGTTGTTTCCACTTGAGGAAAACAGGAAAGAGATTTTTAATAGCTCCATAAAATTCCACGATATGAATGTACCCTAATCTGCTTAACCTTCCCCTCTGCTATTGGACATTTAGGTTGTTTTCAAATCATAAGTCACATGGTGGCAAACATGTCCCTCAGCAGCTGTGATTCGGCCCCTCCCACAGATGTCCAAGATCACAGGGCACAGACGTTTTAAGGCATTTGACACATCATGTACAGGATTGCATCCATCAGGGCTTTGCCAATCTCTCATGTGAATGAGGGAGCCCCAGTCACTGCCCCCAAGTCAGGGCTGTGTCTTCTCATTTTAAAAAATACTTTTCTGCACACAGATATAGGTTAACAGGTGTTATTAATGACCTCTTACCTCCTCAACTGCCTTTCTGTCATTTTTTTTTCTCATTCATTCAACACGTGTTTATTGAACACTCATAGGGTTTCTCTGCGTCTACCACTGAGAATGTTGAAATATATTAAATGTTCAATCAGCAAACATTCAACCACCCCTTTTGGGGGAACCCAAAGATGAACCAGAAATTGTTACTTCATGCAGTGAGGGTGACTCTAGGGACTGGTCCCAGCTTGGCCCTTTAACATGTTTGGGATGTTAGGACAGCTCACTTCACCTCCTAGAGCCTCTGTAAAATCGGATTAAAACTAGTAGCACCGACCCTGCAGAGCTGTGGAGAGAACTCAGTAATAAAATGCATTTTTTTAACACTTGCTGCACGGCAGGGTTCTACCTCAGGGAAAAACAATTAAAATGAAAGTCACACATGGAACAATGACCCCTCTTGGCTTCCCAAACACTGGCCACGGGCTATGAGAAAACCCTGCAGACGTTGCTGATGTTCAGGGGCTCCTCTACAGTAGCCAGTCCCCCCAGAGTAATCATACCAGAGTGAAATCCCCACATAGGGAGGAGCCTCCTGCGAGCTCTCTAGCACTCCCCTCATAGATGTTAGCCAGTGAAGACCCTCAAAAATTAACCCGGAGGAAGGAGACAATGAGAAGAAAAGAAAGCAGTTGTAGGAAACCCTGTTCATGTATTATCCTTGGAGAGCTTATGGAAGATACGGTAGCGGGCAAACAAACTTAAGTTTGCCTTCTGAAAAGGAACATTCAAAGAAGCAGAAAGAGCCCTTGGAAATTAAAAACCTGACCATCAAAATATCAAC